TGGGATGTAGATAACTTATCTACATTCACTTTAGAAACATTAAAGCCATAAAAAATATATCAGAAAAATATTTTTGCAGTTACTGCAGATAAGTTATCTGCTTTTATTTCTAAAACGACGTTGTTTTGGGATTAAAAGATTAAAAAATTATAATTATAATAACCTGAAATAAATTAAAATTATAAAACACATGATTTTCCACGAAAATGACATCGTATTAGACTTAATGCAAACAACTTATCTGCAGTGACTGCAGAAAAAGCGAACTCAAAATATATATGTCATAAGCGATCACATGATTATTTCTAATTTTTTCCTTTTTATATAAAAAAATATAATACTTTGTAGGAGCCTAGGAGGCCATGTGAATGACATCATATAAAATTGGCATGCCCACGTGTACAAGATTAGTCCAACTTAGTAAAAAAAAAAATTACATTTTTTTGGAAAATATGTTTTCTCCCTATTCCTCAATGAGCGGATGCCTTAAAAAAAAAAAATTTATACACGAATAAATTTTAAAACAAAGAAAGAAATTAACAGTCACCCCAAAGGGGATGAGTGGCTCATCAAGAGTCCGCAAGGCCTTAACTTTTTTATTCAATTTAAAATATATTATAATTTTAATGTATCAAAATTTAAAAACAAATACATATTTAGTATTTACTTGTTTATTTTAGAAATAATGTTACTTCATTTTTTAGCTAATAAGATAGGTCTTAAATTTAAATTTTAGCTCAGATCGATTGCACAAAATTTATTCACTACAACAAACGGTGCAATTAAAGGCGCTTGTTTTGTCCATCAGAGGCGGTCAAAACCGCCTGCATTTAACTCACATGGCGGTTGACCATCCGCCTATGTTACCACAGTCGGGATGTCATTCTCAGGCGGTTTTGAAAAATCGTTGGTACTGCTGCCAGAACGTAACAAGGGCGGTTGTTCTGTCGGGTATGGTCGTCGCAGGTTATTCCAAAAAGTGATGAAAACTACCTACAGGCGGTAAAACCAACCGCCAATAAATGTCAATATTTCGACGCTTCCTTGGGCTGTTTATGCAGTCGGCATGAGGTGTGGCGTTCAGTCTAACCGCCTCCTCTTTCTATATAGTCAGTTTTGTTCAACAGTCAACATAGTTTTAGGATATTTGTAAAATATGACTCTGGAGGTGGGTTAACCGCCTTGTGATAGAGTATTTGGACGGTCACCAGAATTAAACGTTTAATTTTTTTAAAAAAAGATTAAAATTAATTTGAATTATTATTTTGTTTTAATAAAAAAACCTATTATATTAATATTTTGTTTTAATAAAAAAACCTATTATTTTAATCAGAGGTTTATAAACATTGATGCATTGATAATATTTATGAAAAAAGCAAACCTTTTTTTTTAGGTAAGGAGGGCTTATCCCCAAAAACACTAGAAACATTGTTCTGTATCTTTAAATTAGGAACATATTTACCAAAACTTAATATACCAAACCAAAATAGATAACTTATCAAAATAATTTGGTATTATTTTAATCAGGGCTTTATTAACATTCATGCATTGAGGATATTTATGCAAAAAGTAAACATCATTCATTCTTTAAATTTGGAAACAGTGACATACATATTTGCATTGAAGAGTAATATACAAAACCAAAACAGACCTAGGTTGCATGCAAAACGTACCCTGGTCATCAATTACATCCAAAATATACCCAGGTAATATGCATAACATCCAAAAAAAATACCCAGGTACTGCCTAATACTGCCTAACATGAAAAACACCAGAATTCAACTAACAATGTTAAACTCCAAAACAACCATATTCCATGTACAACCACTGTAATAGCCAAAATACAGTGGTTCAATGAACAACTTCCAAATAATGTGAAATTAGGATTTTGCTGGTAGGGGTGCTTGATTTGATATAGTTGGCCCATCAGAAGGGTCATGACTAGCATGGGAGGACTTTCTGATTCCAGGAGAGCCCAAGTCAGCAACCTGATATATTAGGAAAAAAGAAAACATACATTAATCCATAAGTTAATTTGAAGAAAAAGGTTGAGAAAATGCAAAAAAAAGAAAAAAAGAAAAAAATGAGGTTGGAAATTGGAGAGATTTCTATTATTGACAGAACCAGAGTATATACACTTGAGCTAATGGCTGTAGCTAAATGTATTCAGTGACATAAGAAGTAAATGATCATAACTAGGTACAACAAAATAGTAACAAATTACTTAACAAAGTTAGAGAGTGCAACTGAGCAACCATATAATCCATACGCACTAATAATCCAAGACAACTGAATATTTATCCCAACAACCATACAAACTCAATACAAACTCAATATGTATCTTAGCAACCATATATTCCATTCCAATTTTTTTAATGCAAACTGAATGAATCAGTATATATGAATGAAGTTCAGACTATTTTCATTGCACTACAAGGTCAACAGTGGAGTACATAACAGGTGTATTGACATATATGAAGTACAATGAAAACTTAGATTTTACGAAAAAGAAATTGCAATTCATCTTGCAATTAAAATAACAATATTGGCAATGCAGCCATGTATAGAACAGTTTTTTCAAGTTGAAACAGTCAGCAACCATATGCAAGAGTATAAAGCCCAATGAGTACCACAAAGTAAATTCAGAAGTAGAGTATCAAACTTTACGCACAGTGTCTATCCGAGTTCAATAAATGATAAATACATGAAGAATGAAAACAATATTAGAATAGCCAAAGAAGTTTAAACCACATCACAACCTTCATGCTTTGCACTAGTACCACAGATTTTACAGAGGAAACAGAAAAAAAAATAGTGAAACTGAAGATGCAACTTGCAGAAAAAGTGCCATATACCTGATTAGTTGGTGACTGACCAACAAAATTTTGCATAAAAAGTGCCATTTGCGATTTCAATGTATCAAACTCTACCATCTTGCCTTTTATAGTGTCTAATTCTCCTTTCAGGGCATCATACTCAGCTTGTGTAGGACCACTTGAAGAACTTGAGGCTGAACTGGTAGATGTTCTACGGATTTGGCTTGGGACCACCCCAAAACCCATGCCTCTAACTCGACCTGGGTGCTCCTTCCCAAACACATGTACAAAAGCCTCCTCTTCGAAATTGGCTTGTTCGATCTCTATAGTTAAATTATCCTAAATAAAGGGCATGAGAACCATGTCAAAGTGTACCTCAAAGCTAGAAATTGATATAAAAAACAAATTACGAGAAATTAATACATTTTTCAGCCTAGCTTCCTCATTGATAAAATTGCCATCTTTTCTCAAGTGAGAAACAGCATACATCTCACCCCTGCTAAATTTGCGCCCTTCTTGTATTTCCTGACAATTGGGATGACACCAAGCCCATTATTTCAATTTTTTTCAGAAGCAAAATAGTCACATCATAAAAGATTAAACATTTAAAAAAAACCATACCAGCTCCCTTTTCCTCCTTGCTATCAACTTTGAGCCAAGTGTATGTGGGATTGTTTGTTTCGCTCTATTTGCAGTATTGATGATACTATACTTCTGCATGATTAATGAAAAAAAAATAACATATTAATTTTGAATACAAGTGACAGCAACCAACAAGTCTATTTTGCAACCTTCATTACCTTTGCCTTCTCACTTGTTTTGTATGTCAAAAAACTTGCCCATTGTTCTCTTGTCATGCCATCAGGGTAAAGATCAAGGTTTTCCTGAAAAGATTTATCTTTCTCATATATCTCATTGGCTAGCCTCCACCTATTGTCTTTCCACTTCTTACCCATGTTGCCCATACAATAATGGTAGTGGTCATCATTATCCATAACGAATATCTTCTGCAAGAGAAAAGTGAGCTGAAAATTATAAATAATAATATAATTACAACAGGAACCTATTTGAAAATCAAAAAACCATTCTGACCTTAATAGTGTTGTGCCAAGCATCATCCTTGTAGAGCTTAGGTACATCAGGCCACCTTACATAACTTATAGGGAATATGTTTGGGTTACATGCAATGTGTCCCAAAAACCCACCGAATAAGCCAGCAGCCTCCCCAACAGGTTGATTGTCTTCATTCCATTCAACAACTACTCTCTTATGAGGAGGAAGTACCAAAAGATCCCGCACACGTAATCTCTCCTCATCAGCCTCTCCATTATCAGCTATCACATTGTTGTTAATGCAATAACAAGATACAAAATATCATATAAGTGAGAATATTTAATCAAGTATATCATTATATAAGAATGCAATACTGCTACATCAGACAGAGTTACCTAACACATCAACAACCCAATACTTGTTGCATGTCCTTTGGGAAGGGTTTCGTAGTCTTGGATTAGAGTCCTGAGATTGATCCCCAACTGATTCAGATTGAGCAACTGCTGGTGTAGGTTGAGCAGTTGAAGATGCAGCATGTGCAGGTGCAGATTGAGCAGAAGGAACTTGTTGGTGGACCACTATATCATGTGGCTGACTATTCAGTTCTTGAGTCGGTAGTTGTGAGTTTATATTGTGTTCTTGTTCATTGCTTGTTAGTTCATTAGCATTGGAGTTTGTCGAGATGGTCCTTTTTGTGAACCTCTTTGTACGTGCCATTGTCCTGCTTAGAGAAATATGTTTGCAGGCATACATATTTTGTTATACAGAACATAAAAATCCCAATACATCAGTAACACCAACAAATATAACATGACAATATGTTTTCTAAAATTTATACGAGTGAAAAACAACATGTTACTTTAACTTTGGCATATTATACCTGCAAAACAGAATGTGCTGGGGATTTTATACATGTTATTTTAATCCAGCATGTACATAGTTTCATTCTGATTAAACTAGTTAAACCAGAATGTACATATATTTTTTCATACAAATAACTTTGATAACCTGTTTATCACAATAACTGATGTAGTGATGTAAACAAAAAACACCACTTTATCTTAAGCACAATACAATATCCAAAAAAATTGTAATCTAAACAAGTTTTTACTGAATTCAGGCAAAGTATTATCATATTTCCATTTCTTCATCCTCGTTTAGATTAACAGGCAGAATTGGATTGTCATCATCCGTGAAAGGTCGTGATAATTGTAAAGGTGTTGTGTCATCCACATCAACATGATCCAAGTTCTGTGATGGAAATTGGCCAGTCCATGTCATAGAGTCTTCACCCATATCATACAAGTCTCTTGGCTTTACATGAACTGGAATGCTCCAACCTTTTTCTTTCTCATCATCAACATAAAACACCATTTGAGCTTCTGAAGCTTTAATATATGGCTCATCATCATCTTTTTCACCAGTATGTATTAGTTTTGAAAAGTTAACTTGCGCAAATCCTAATTTATCTTTCTTTAGCCCTCTTTGAGTAGTGGTATCAGCCCATTGACATTTAAACAAAGCCACTGTGAATAAACCATTGTAATTAATCTCTATGATGTCAATCAATTTCCCATAATAAGGAACCCCCCCACATATCATTTGGCCATCCTTACTACTTGAGTAGCTTCTAGTGTCAAACGTCCCATAAACCCCACTATTTTGTGTTTTCAGGTTATTGTCTCTTTCTAAGGTCCGAAACTTAATGCCATTTACATTATATGCATTAAACCTTCTACCTTGGTAAAATGGACCTTTGGCAAGAGAAAGCATGATAGCTACATCTGATTCCTCAATATTGTTGATATCTAAAATAATCTACACAGACAAATGTAGTAATCATAATGTTTAGAATTTTATATAAATTATTACACTAAAGGTATATCTAATCTGTGCTACATTACTCACTCGTTTGGAGAACCAATCTACAAACTCTCTATGAACCCGCTTATCTATCTCTGCTTGACTTCGAGTAGTCCTCCTTAGTTGCCTCTTAACATCTGTCCTAAATTCCCTAAATAAAAACATCATTTTAAATCTGAAAAACCTAATAACTTAATCAATGACAATAAATTGTTACTCAAATACCTAGGTACTTACTGAAGATATTTTTCAACAAGTGGGCAATTGGTGAGCACATGTCTATGTGCTTGTAATCTTTCCATGTTAGTGAGATTGAAAAACATTGATGCACCAATTGGCTTACCTACTTTGGGAAAAAAATCATCTATGCGCGTTTGAGGCTGTATATCATCATGAGCATCATCAACACGTCTAGGTCGATTCCACCGAGTCTCAATATTGTCCAAGTACCTTGAGCAAAATGTCAAGATCTCTTGCATAAGGTAACCTTCTGCAATTGAACCTTCTGGTTGCGCCTTATTACGAACATATGATTTTAATTGTCCCAAATACCTCTCAATAGGATACATCCACCGATAGTGAACGGGACCTCCAAGCTTAGCTTCATCAGCAAGATGAACAATCAAATGAATCATGACAGTGAAAAACGAAGGGGGAAATAACATTTCCATATGGCATAAGGTTAGCACAACTTGATGTTTTATATTATCCAACTATGTAACGCTCAACACCTTACCACATAGTTGTTTGAAAAATGAGCATAATTCAATTAAAATGCTACATACATTATCAGGCAATGATATTCTCGTAGCCAATGGTAGAAGTTGTTCCATCAATATATGGCAATCATGACTTTTCAACATCCCACTCACTCGCATAGAATCAACATCAATGCACCTTGATATGTTGCTTGCATAACCATCTGGTACAGAGATATTCCGCAAGGTCTTCAGAAAAGCCTTCTTCCCTTGATTGGTCATTGTATACACTGCTAGAGGATATTTTCCACTCTCATTTGGCCAAAGGTCAGGCTTGCAGCCCATTCTTTGTAGATCTCTTCGAGCATTGATATGATCTTTTGATTTTGAGGAATCACTAAGCAATGTGTAAATGATATTGTCGCATACATTCTTCTCAATATGCATCATGTCAAGATTGTGGCGCAATAAATTATGTCTCCAATATGGAAGGTCAAAGAATATGCTCTTCTTTTTCCATTGTTGGGCATTGCCTTGTGCATCACGATCACCAACTCGACACTTTTTCCCTCTTCCGCTAACTTCAGGTTTTCGACCAAAGGTAACATTCACATGTTGAACCTGTTCAAGGATTTCACAACCAGATAATATCCTTGGAGGATTGCGCAGCTCCTGTTTACCGTTAAATCGAACCTTGTTCAATCTAAACCTATGTCTTTGTTGAAGAAAACGTCGATGGCCCATAAAACACCACTTCTTACTATGATAAAGACGAGTAGGTTCAAAGTCAAAGTTGCATACTGGGCATGCTAACCCAGTATGTGTGTTCCACCCAGATAGATTGCCAAGACCAGGAAAATCACTAATTGTCCACATTAAAGCTGCACGTAACTTAAACATGTCACCTGTCGAAGCATCATAAGTATCTATACCTTCATTCCACAGTTCAAGCAACTCTTTCATCAACAGCTGTAAGTACACATCAATATCATTTCCGGGCATTTTTTTGCCAGGTATAATCGTTGAAATAATAAAGGATGTGGACTTCATACACAACCATGGAGGCGTATTGTATGGCATTAGAATAACTGGCCAAACACTGTAACTGGAACTCATATGACCGAATGGATTGAAACCATCGGTAGCCAAACCAAGTCGAACATTGCGTGGGTCTGCTGCAAATGTTGTGTGTAATGAATTAAAATTCTTCCACGCTTCTGAATCTCTGGGATGCCTCATGAAACCATCATTATGACCATCCGTAGCATGCCATTTCATGTCTTCAGCGGTCTTTGTAGACAAGAACAATCTTTGCAAGCGTGGTTTAAGTGGAAAATAACGTACAACTTTGGCAGCCACTTTACGCTTGTTATTTCCATGTTGTGGTTCACCTCCTTTGGTACAAGGTTTCCATCTAGATAAGGTACAAACCTTGCAAAATTGTCTGTCTACATTTTCCTCACCCCAATACAACATACAATTACGTGGACAAGCATGTATCTTCTGGTAATCCAATCCCAACTTCGTAATAGTTTTCTTTGCCTCATAAAATGAAGATGGAATTTGTGCATGATCAAATGCATCGTGTATTAGCTCCAGTATTACACTTGATATGATATAACTTCACAATGAAAGAAAGCTTTGAATATTTCTTACTCCCTTCATACAATGGTTGTTCACCATCTTTGAGTAGTTCGTAAAATTCGTTTGCTCCATAATTTTCTTCATGTCCATTATTGGTCGTATCTACATCGTTATGCTGCTCATCCACCCCAAAAGCATCATTTACCATGTTGCGTATTGGATCCTCATGGACTACGTTGTCTTCCACTCCATGTAATCCATTCTCACTGGCATTACTGCTTTCTCCAATTCGTGACTCTCCGTGAAAAACCCAAAAAGTGTAACCTTCTGGAAATTTTGTGCATAATAAGTGGTCATACACTGTTTCCTTTGGCTGCCACTTTCTAAAACCACAGCGTGAACAAGGGCATAATATCAAACCCTCAGCAGAGCTGTGTCTGACCGCAAAATCAATAAAACCTTGAACGCCTTGTTGATATTCAACAGTGTTTCGTGGTTGTGCAATCCATGATTTATCCATCCACACTGAAAACAACCATATTTTATTGTAAAATGAGGCTGTATAAAACCAATTCCGAATTTCGGTATATGGTCACACAATATGATTTTATGAGTTAAGGTTTAAGGCAAGGCCATTTCATTTTATGTTCGTGTCTTAGGGTGAGGGTTTCTGGTTTGAGTTTGGGCTACTGGGCAGTTCTTACAATCAAGGTGTGTAATTTGGGTTGTGGTAAAGGCATTGGTCATGTGGTTATGAAGCCTAACCTAATGCACCATTATGATGCTAACATAATGCAACCTTATGCTGCCAAACAAATATGGGTGTTATCCAACACACGGGAAAAAGAAAATAAAAATTCTTCCACTGTTATAATTACATCATTGATATAAACATATCAATATTTACGCAACATTTACACAATCATGACAAACATCGAAGCATAGAATTTAATATTTTACAGTGAACAAAAGACATACCAGACAATTCTTCTTTATGTTCCTGTGGTTGACTGAAGAAGATATTTCACAAGAGTAGTATAGAACTGCAACAAAATGAATGAGCCTTTAGCTGAATTATTTTTAGGCAGATTTAAATTAAAATATTTATAATAGCAATAAACTGAAGTCATATACTTAAAAAAAATGATATATTGTTCTTAAAAAAATCATTTAGAGTATACGACAAATCTGTTTTTTTTTCCATATTTTTTTTAAGTACTTCCTCTCAAATCTCAAATTTTTACTTTTTTTTAACAAATATATGACACAACTGATACACCAAAAAAAACACTCGCTTGATAAATTTCAACCCTTCTTAATTTGCAGTCACTCAGTCAAAAAGTTTCGCATTTGGCATTATGCAAACAAACCAAGGTCTTTATTTTAAAAACTGTAGACAGGGCATACAAAACTGAGTTACCTTCAGGTAGATAAGTAAATAACAATAATTCCCAGAGAAACCAAACACCCCTCAAGAAGCTTTCCTTTTCCTGTAAAAACACACAATAATGTCATCAAATGATAAATTTGTAGATCTAAGAGAGTAAATTGGTTTGAAGAGCTGTATTTTTATAAATTTTAATCTATGGCAAATTCTATCACGTAAATTATTAAATTTTGTAACATGCATATATTTATATTTTGTAAAGTTCATTTTCAAATATAGAGTTTATAATAAACCCGACAGACCCAACCTTCATTTTTTCAATTGATTAGATAGATGAGTACATTTACTTGCATTTCAAAGTGGTTCAAGAAAATATGTGGTGTGCCGGCAGGCCTACCAAACAAAAAATATTGTACACATATTTGTGTACAACCTGAATAACAGGTGCGTCTTACATTTGAAGGAAAAACAACGAGCAAGTGAACAAACCTTCAGATTACCCCCAAATTGTTTGAGTCAGAGCTGAGTTCAGAGTTGTATTCAGAAAAATACTATAATTCAGAAAGAAATCAAGGATGCAGGAAAACATAAAAATTATACCAATTGACGAGCAAACGAACATGCACATGAAATGGACATTAAGCAACGAACAACATGTCAAACGCTTTACATTGAAGGAAAATAGATTACGCACCAGTTTAAACCTCGACTGAAGAACCCTTCCAACATTCAAGCTGCACAATAGTTTGGGTCGAAACACAATCCCTTCGCCAAACTTCAAACCCTTACACGAACAAAAAATCCACAATAAATATTTTGAGAGTCAAAATAAACGATAATGAGAGACGGAGAATGAGAGACAGATAAGCAGAGACGGTACCTTCGAACCCTTCGCCGAACTAGGTTGAAAAGAAGATTGGGGCACACAGAGAAAGAGACACTGTGAATGAGAGCTTAGGGCTATGAGGGAACTTTGGGAGAGATTAAGAAATTGGGGTCTTAATCTCCAAGAGGGATATTGCAAAGTTTGCCTCCAATTGGAGTCTAGGGTTCCAGTTAGACACGCATAAAAAATTGCTAAGTGTGGAGTCAATTGTGTATAAGTTAGTCAGAGTAAAGTGTCTTTCACATAGGAGGGAAATGTGGAAGTTGCATAAAAGTTAGTAAGAGGGAAAAAAATTCACTTAGGAGGGAAATTGTCCGCTTCGTCAAAATAAATAATCACCAATTTTAGTCACATTGGAGTATTTTTTACATTATATACAAGTACATAATTAAATATAATGGAAATTAATAAATAAGTTATATATTAATATTTATTTTTGGTAAGCAGTTATATATTAATATTAAATATATCTTATTTTTTTAATTAATTTTATTTTTTTGTTTTCATAATTATGCCGACGTGATTTTATAGTCAATCCAGTAGTGATATTATACATTTTAGTTTTTATAAACCTTAAATCAATAATTTTATTTTTACTTTTTTTGTTTTCATAATGTATATTTTTTAAATAAAATAAAACCGGGAAATATTTTTCATATTATACATTTTAATTGTGATTTTTATTCTTTAATCAAAACCTGCAAATATTGTTTACCAAAAAAAAAACCTGCAAATATTTTTGTTACAAATGTCATTTTCAGAACCTAAAGTCCCGCATCACGATCATTATATTTTTTTATTCTTTATTAGATAATAGTATGTGATTTATTGTTTTTGTATTAAAATATTTAAAAAAATTATCATTTTTTTAGATATTTAAGTATGTTTATAATTTTTTAATATAAATTATAAAATATGATTTTAGTATGTCTCATTCAATCGATGTTTTCACGCTCATTCAGGATGTAGACAATTACATGATTCCATTACAAGCCAGTATTATTTGGTATTATATTCACGGGGAAATAAATATGATATATTCGGTACTCAACATCAGATGAACAGTGGCAGAGATAACTAAAAAAATCATACAGTTCCAAATAAATATTTAATACATAAAGTGAGAAAAATAAATACTCAAGGCATCAAAGAGGTAAGGGATGGACAACTTTCAAAGGCAATGATGTTAAGAATTTCATTAATAATTTATTTATATAATAAATGGCTTTTATTTCAAATATAAAATTATATTTATATATAATCAGTCGAGCCAACAACTACTTATCCACGCCAGTGCCCAGGGAACTTCGCTCGTTTACCTCCTACTAAGATTATAATGGAATGTTGTTGATTTTTGAACACCGAGCCAGTGCTAAGGTGCTCTCTAGCTGACCTCAACGTGGCTTCGCCACTGTAGATGAACGCACTTTGGCGTCAATTTACTCTTCTGTTCATAAAGTTCTTGTTGTTGGTTGACTGTAGTTAAGATACTCGGTCCCGTATAACTACAGTTATAAAAAGTTAGGGCACAAACATCACTCAATGGTGCATATGGAATGGTCTCTCGCAATCATCAATGGTGTAATGTATAATTTTTGTCGAACTATGGGTTTAGGGTTTATTTACTCAAACTACGATTTTTGTATATTAATATCTAATGCACGTGGATCACTCATTCAGTATATAGACAATTTACATGATTCCATTACAAGCCAGTATTATTTGGTATTCTATTTACGGGGAAATAAATATGACATATTTCGGTACTCAACGTCAGATGAACAGTGGCAGAGCTAACTAAAAAAATCATACAGTGCCAAATACAAATTTAATACATAAAGTGAGAAAAATAAATACTCAAGGCATCGAAGAGGTAAGGGATGGACAACTCTCAAAGGCAATGATGTTTTTTAATAATAATTTATTTATATAATAAATGGCTTTTATTCCAAATATAAAATTAGATTTATATATATAATCAGTCGAGCCAACAACTACTTATCCACGCCAGTGCCCAGGGAACTTCGCTCGTTTACCTCCTACTAAGATTATAATGGAATGTTGTTGATTTTTGAACACCGAGCCAGTGCTAAGGTGCTCGCTGACCTCAACGGGGCTTCGCCACTGCAGATGAACGCACTTTGGCGTCAATTTACTCTTCTGTTCATAAAGTTCTTGTTGTTGGTTGACTGTATTTAAGATACTCGGTCCCGTATAACTACAGTTATAAAAAGTTAGGGCACAAACATCACTCAATGGTGCATATGGAATGGTCTCTCGCAATCATCAATGGTGTAATGTATAATTTTTGTCGAACTATGGGTTTAGGGTTTATTTACTCAAACTACGATTTTTGTATATTAATATCTAATGCACGTGGATCACTCATTCAGTATATAGACAATTTACATGATTCCATTACAAGCCAGTATTATTTGGTATTCTATTTACGGGGAAATAAATATGACATATTCGGTACTCAACGTCAGATGAACAGTGGCAGAGCCAACTAAAAAAAATCATACAGTGCCAAATACAAATTTAATACATAAAGTGAGAAAAACAAATACTCAAGGCATGAAAGAGGTAAGGGATGGACAACTCTCAAAGGCAATGATGTTTTTTAATAATAATTTATTTATATAATAAATGGCTTTTATTTTAAATATAAAATTATATTTATATATATAATCAGTCGAGCCAACAACTACTTATCCACGCCAGTGCCCAGGGAACTTCGCTCGTTTACCTCCTACTAAGATTATAATGGAATGTTGGTTGACTGTATTAAAATACTCGGTCCCGTATAACTACAGTTATACAAAAATAGAGCATACTGAGACCTCAATGGTGCATATGGAATGGTCTCTCGCAATCATCAATAGTGTTATGTATATATTTTTTCCAATACAAATATGACATAACTATTTTTAAATACTTAAACTAAGCATAGAGAGGGACTCTCGTAAACAAATAAATTTTCTCTCATCAATTTATATATATATATATTTATTTTTTTTGTTATGCATCAATTTATATTTTTTTATTCAGTGTAAAACTTGTGACTTTTCCATTATGAGCCTTTTTTTCATAAACAACTTTTAAACATGGCCAATTGTTGAGGGAAACAAATTTTGCATCAACATAATTCTATACATCATTGATTAATTATTTTTTATCCGCGTGGCAGTGCAGTTGCCATTTTTTACCGTTGTCCTACAATAATATATTTTGAATAAATTTAAAGTTTGAAATTTAAAGTATAAAAAAATTTAAAATAAAATAACAAAAAAGGGAACGTTGAACTGGAAAAAAATAAAAGTACGTTATTGGTTGGAAATTCATTGCAGCAACTCACAAATATCTACCTCCTTATCCAAGCTAACCTATTATCTCTGTTTTCCCCAAATCACAAAGTACGTTGAACTGCATACCCACTTCTCACCAAAATCAACCTCACTTCTCACCAAAATCTAACCCATACCCACTTCGTCACACTCTCACACTTCACCGCTACATGAACTGCATCGCCTATTTTCATGAGTGGACCTCTAATTCGTTATTACCGTACGGTTTCTTTTGTCACCTCTTGTTCGTTCCATAACACACGGCTGCTCACGATTATTTCACGGTTTTTACCTTTCATCTTCATCTGCCGTGCACGGTTATTTCAGCTTTATCTAATTCACCCGCCTCTGTTTACTGAAACCGCCTCCGACGACTATTCCCCAATCCGACGTCGCAACCGCCTACGTTTCTTGAAATTTTAGGTCGGTCAAGCCCAAACGCCAGAAATTCCGCCTCGGAATACATTTGAACAAAGGCGGTTATGATAAAACGCCACCATGACCGACGGTTTGTGATCCCAAAAGTCGTCGGCCTTCTTAACCGCCCAAAGAACCGCCTGAAAAGTTTCTTCTGAGGCGGTCCACTGTTAACCGCCTAAATTTATCCGACGGCAAATGCCACTTTTCTTGTAGTGATTGTTGTGTTTTTTTTTTCTTTTTAATTAGATACTTTATGATTCAGGAAATTTTTTACTACCAAAGTGATGTCTAAGAGATCTCGAAGGATTAGAAATGGAGTGCGCTTTCACTTTTTAATCTTGTATTATAGTATTTAGTATAAGATGGCTCATCATGTACTTTAAAAGATTACTTGACTAAGAAGTTGCATGCCAACTCAAACTTGAGTACGTAGTTAACGCTAATAGAAGAGTAATTTGACTTAAGTGAACTCCAATGAATTTTAAGTTCATATTCAGACAAAGCCAAGGGTTTAATATATAGTTGATTTACACAGACAATGAGCATTAGAAAACAACAAAAAAGAGAACTCCAAATAATAGTAGACATTACAGTTTCCCTATAACTTTCCAGTTAAGGATAAAGGATATTACATGAGATAAAACAAACACAGAACACCTTAATATATTTTGTAGGTCTCCAAGTTGCTTCCTACATACTGATAATATATACTTATTATACAAGAGTGGCCATTATAAGACACACTTAAAGCTAAACACTGATAATAATATCTAAATCAAAATGCTTGAGGTTTAAATGATCTACCCACACGAGTTTGTGGGTTTCCCATGGGGTAACTCACAATCATTATTCCACCATAACGAGCAGCTACCTCTCTGCTATTCATGGCTGGCTCTTCCATCTCATCGTTTGGAAGTTGAGCTACCCAACGTCCTTGTCTTGCAGGGAATACCCCATTGACTATGGGCCTTCGTGGAGCAGGCGCACTAAAAACTTTTTCTATCAGATAAAAGCCTTCTGAACCGATCTCTCTGATGTCCGTAGGAGGTGCCATAGATTCTAAATAAAACAGTACAAGAGAAACTAGTTTATATGGTAAACTGATGCTTTTTGTGTGTGTGTGTGTGTTATCTTGTTTCTTGCTTTGAAACAAGAGCCGAAACCCCTTTTATATAGATACGAAAGTGGTTCTTAATTTAGCATACGTAAAGAATCATTTCATCAAAAGTGTTGGGTGTGAAAGTCTTTTTAATGGTTTATATTTTTAATGATTTAATCATTTAAAGCGTGTGTTCTGTCTTTCGGACAGAGATGTCCAGCCCAAAAGGCTGGTATGTTTCTCTTGGATCTAGTGTCCTCTTCAAGGTATCTATGAATGAGATATCCTTGAGTCAAGCAGATCACTGTGCACAAAATACTATGATGGCGTTAGCCAATGGGGTGTGTATGCGCACAGTGACAGTATAACAGTAAGAAAGAGAGCGTATTACCTTGTATTTATAGAGGTTACCTGCGGGTAGTGTGGATGGGCCTTTGGTGCATCAGGTAAGGGCTCAAGCCTGCTTGCCATGCTGTCGTATTAAGATTAGTACCATTGATGGATATCTATCCCTTATTAATATCAATTCATATCTTGAATTGCCCCTTGTTGGGCTTATCACTTAATGGACCCCTTATATGAGTCCATAACAGCGTGAATATTATAAAGGCTCAACTTTTGATTTACCTTGTGCTTATTTTAATTTCACTATAAAGTGGCCGGGGCGATAAGGATTGAACTCGTAATTTTGTGGTTAATGAAGCTCTCATACCATGTAAAAAATCAATTCAACCCAACCACTTATATGTGCGGTGGGACCTACAATATTTTTTCATAAAGAAACAATTCAAAGCTCACTTATATTTTTAAAAAATTTGACAAGATTCATTTATTTATTAATAAAATATGATATAAAAAATTAATTTAATCCAAAAGTTTAAATTATGAATATCACACTAATAATATAATATTATATTTTTATGGATTAAAAGCTTATATGATCATCATCAATCATCATAGAGATCATAATTTGGGCTTCTTCTTATTTAATTACTAGTCTTGATTAATGAACGGAATATGTTCAACAATGTCGGAAAGTTGGATAGGAAGTGAAGGTTCTCGTCAAGCACATCATGATCTTCTGGGTTTTATTCAGGCTTAAAGCAGTCTTAAAGGCAGAAAAAGAAAAAATAATATTGGAAGTGGGACGGTGAATCTTATTCCTTCTCTTCTCTCTCTATCTCTTATTTTCTTTTTAACTTTGAATAATTCCTTTTCATTTTTAAGTTGTGGAGGAAAGTATAATTCTTTTGTTGATTCCATATACCACGTTCGCACAACGGGGCTTCAGTTTTGCATTTTAACTTAATAGATTTCTAGTTGTTACTAGAAAAATTTCATAGTTATTATTCATGCTTCCCTTGTTTATCAGTAGGTTACCAAATCCAAATGAATTATAGTGAACTATTTTTTTTTTTTTTGGTATTAGCTTTACTAGTTAATTTTTTTTTTCTCTATTGGATGACATGAATAGATATAGATTGTTTTCTTATCATAAATCTCACTTATAATAATAATAATAATAATAATAATAATAATAATAAAATTCTGTCAAATATGACTGCATTAAAACAGAAAGTCATTAAGCTACTAGAATTGATCCAGTAGTAAAAGATTTGAGTAGGTTGTATTAGGTAATGTATTCAATTCTCACTTCTATTAAAAAAAATAGTCTTTCGACGGGGACTACACCGGACTAGTATATCCGATTCTTCAACATTATTCTCTAGCTTTCTCCCTTCAAACATCTTAGAAAAAGTGCCGCGTGCATACCACTTTAGCTAACTGATTAATCCCTCGAACTAGCTATTTGTATTAAACACAAGATTTCTTCTATCCTCTCCAAATCTTAACTCTCTTACTTACGTAAACACAATGACGCGCATATATAGTTATCATGTCTATGATGTAGTTTGAAAGGAATATGGAGAAAAAAGAAATTCTAGTAACTACTAGCCAGCTAGGGTACTAATAGCGGCATCCCTAGCTAACATGGATTTACAAATTGAAGATGCAAATTTTACTCAAAGGCATAATGGCATGAAATCTAAAATTTATATTACAGCATCATAATGCCGTGTAATGGTCTCCAACCATTTTCTTTGGGTCATGGGTGCCAGTGCAAGTCAATTTTTTTTTTTGTTTATACTTGACAAGGAAGTGGGATATTATTCACGCGATAATTAGAAAATCTGTTTTTTTTTATACATAGAGAAATTAAACATACAACCTATTATGTAATTACTCACATCCCTCACTATTAAGCTTTACTATTAAGCTAATTCTAGTGACTTAGAAAATCCATTTTGTAGTTAGTGTTTTGCTCATGTTGGTATATATATATATGGAAATATTTTGGGCTTAATTGGATAAATCACTCTGTAACTAAGTCCTATTCTTTTTTCATTATACTTCATCCACAGCCTTCAAAGTTTGAGTTTAAACTAGTGTGATATGGAAACGTTTCGCTATTGGTAAGCGTGCTAGAAACGTTTTAGGTTCTCTAAGTAAGAGCGTAACTCTGTTAGAGGGATCATGGTCATTACCAAATCCAAAGTCGTCTTCTTTTGGAACAGTGACCATTGTGCCACTGTTCCCACTCTTATTTATCTAGATGTCACGCACCTGAACTTTTTTCCCAAACTACCACGCGGGCTAGTTCGCTAGGAGTAGTAGCGACCTCGTAATGCTGAGCTGTCAGCTTCATGGTGGTGTCAGAGTTCGCGACTGACGCAGGCGACCTCTGTTGCAATTAATGCCTGACCAGCCAGGCCACGTGGCGTGCATGCAAGAGAGGTCGCGACTGACGCAGGCGACCTCTGTTGCAATTAATGCCTGACCAGCCAGGCCGCGTGGCGTGCATGAGCGAGATAGCTGCCCACGCAGGCGACCTGCGCTCAACGACTACGCCCAACGGCTACATTTTCACCCTATATAAACACCCCCCCTCTCCCTTTCATACGTCTCTCTCTCCCTCTCTCTCTTAATTCTCTCTCTCTCTCTCTCTCTTAATTTCCTTGCTCTCACATTTGGTCTTGAGTCTTCATTTGAGGTTAGTGATGTATCATTTGATTAATTTTTATTTTTTGTTTATTGTTAATTAGTTGTTGTTTAATATATTATATGTAACATAAAATATTAGGGTAGATGACATTTTAATTGTTTTATTATTTTAATTAGTTTAATATTAGTAGTTTAGTAATTACATTTTAATGTTAGTAGTTAAATAACATATTGTTTAATTAATGTATGTAATAAATTGTTTTATATGCGTTATTCATTTATAGGTTTTAGAAGAAGATAATTGTGATGATTAATGTTATGACACATTAGGTTAGATGACATATTATTTATTTTATTATTTGAATTATTCTAATATTAATAGTTTAGTAATTGCATGTTAATTTAAGTAGTTAAATATTTTATAGTTTAATTAATCTATTTAATTTAATTGTTTTATTATTTTAATTAGTTTAATATTAGTAGTTTAGTAATTACATTGTAATGTTAGTAGTTAAATAACATATTGTTTAATTAATGTATGTAATAAATTGTTTTATATGCGTTATTTATTTATAGGTTTTAGGGTAAGATAATTTTTATGATTAATGTTATGACACATTAGGTTAGATGACATATTATTTATTTTATTATTTGAATTATTCTAATATTAATAGTTTAGTAATTGCATGTTAATTTAAGTAGTTAAATATTTTATAGTTTAATTAATCTATTTAAAAAATTATTTTATATGCATTATTTATTAATAGGATTTAGTCAGGTTATATTTTTATATGTTAATGTGTCTATTTATGTAGTTAATAAGTTGTTAATTATGCAATAAATAATAATATTGAATTAAAAAAAATAATTTATTTGTAGGATTGAAAAATAATTGGTGTTAACTTTGAACATTGACTTATATAATATGTATGTTAATGTTATTAGGTGTAGTACTTTTTATTAATGTATAATTTAATAATATTAATTGTTTGATATTATTTATAGTCTTGGCATCTAGGTTAGAAAAGAATTATTTTAATTTTGTTAGATTTTGTATTTACTAAAATTTAGATTATGCAATAATTAAAATAACCGAATTAAATAAAATTAGCGTGTTTTAGGGTTGACAAATAAATGTGACAAAGTCTTTTTACCACAATGTTTGTGTTTATTTAATTATTTTTTAGTAATTAGTATTTAATTTTAGTATTTCTTGATTAGTAATTAATTATGGAGTATAGAATAATTAATTGAACTTTAAAATTAATATATTTATTAATCACACTACAAAAAATTGTGATATTTGTGGAGGTTATTTATTGGAGGTCATTAAACCCTCCAAAAAAATATACAGATTGTGGCACTCGTATTGCACGCCACATCATATTTTTATTTTAGTCAAATTATGTAATTTGTGGGAGGTTTTAACTGCCATAATATTTTTGTAATTTTAAATATTTTTGTAACTTCATAAGTATTAAAAAAAATCGTTTTATTTGACCGCTACAACTTCAATGGCTCTCTTCATACTACTCACTCTTCTACCCCAAAACCAAACACCTATTTTTCTTAGCTCCCTTGCCTCATTCCTTAGCTTCATCTTCTCTCTCTAACCGCAAGAACCCATCGTTCTCCCATTCTCACGTTCGTGGCCCAAACTTTGGATTGGGCTCAGCAAGAAGAAGACAACACTGTCACCGTCGAAGACGAAGAAGAAGAAGGTTTCAATGAAACTGAAGCGGGTCTTTCGGAATGGGAACCCAACGGCAAAGACGCTGAGAGCGGCGAAGAAGTAGAAGGTGATTGATTGTGTTTCCGATTTGGCATTAGGTTTTGCATTTGAATTTTCATATAAAAAAACGTAAGCTGGAGAGATATATTTCTAATTGTGTTTTGTGTATGGATTGTGGACATCATGTTTGATGAAATGTGAAAATGGCAATTTATTTGATGTTTTTACATATTGGATTCTTGTTATTTTCACTGATGAATTATGTATTATCTTATTGTTCAATTTTTATACATGAGAGCTTTTGCTTATATTTTCTCCTTTAAATGAATTGGCTTCTGATTTCTTTGTATGAGGACTTACGTTTCCATCCCTGCGTATGATTTCTTTTGCTTATAAGTTCACATTCTTATTCACTACATTTTTAGATGGTCCCCTCTTTTCTAGATTGGTGTTGGACTTTTTGCACTATTTTCATTGGTGAGAATCATAATCACAACTCTGCTTTACATATATACTGATTATGAGGCTTTTCTTTGCTGTATGTTTAATGAAGTGAGTGTTTTTGCAGGTAGCTACATGATTAAAGGTGAGTTTCGCATTATTGCGAGTCATGGATATAAGCTGGTACGTTCTTTGAGTTCCACCTAAGATATAGGGAACATATCAAGTGGAGGAGTGGTTTATTGTGAGAATGAGAGGAGAAAATCTTTAATATTAGATAGTACGTGAATAGTCAATATTAGAATATAAAGTCACTTGACCCTTTTAATTAAGTGATCACATGACTTTTAAATAACTTCTATTAAAAATGATAGGACACCACACGACTATGGTACAACATATAAAAACTCAAATCTTAATTCAAAGAGAGAATCAATTCTTTAAAAGTTAGCTTGAATCATTGTAGACATAAAATGCTACAAATAGCATTTTAGGGACTGGTGGCTTGCTATTGGAACAAATAGCATCTCTCTATTTAAATCACACACTTCTTTGCATTATCTGTCTTGAAATATGCTTGTGAATAATGTAACTTTTAGTTTTTACAGATGTCAAGGCCAAACCTCACGGGATCTAAATCCAGCTTGAGAGGAGTTAGAATTTATTTTTTGTGCATTTTTGTTTCTGCATTTATTCTGATTAAATGTACATATGATTCCTATTTAATAATAGTTGTATCTTTGCATTTCGAGAGGACACACACACACACACATATAATTAGGGTGTTTGCTCAGTTACATCAAAATTGTATAAATTGATTCCTATTTAATAATAGTTGTATCTTTGCATTTCGAGAGGACACACATATATAATTAGGGAGTTTGCTGAGTTACATCAAAATTGTATAAATTGATTCCTATTTAATAATAGTTGTATCTTTGCATTTCGAGAGGACACACACACATATAATTAGGGAGTTTGCTGAGTCACATCAAAATTGTATAAATTGATTCCTATTTAATAATAGTTGTATCTTTGCATTTCGAGAGGACACACACACGGTATCAAGTTAATATGGTTTCAACTTTGAGCGTGTAGTTAGAGCTTATTTTTGTTTCTTTCCTCACTTAATTTCCTCTTCTTCAGGTTATAAAAGGCATTATTGATTACAAGGCTATGATTACAAGGAAGCACATTGTATGGATTCAGAGGTGGTCCTGCTGGCATTATGAAGTGCAAATACCTTGAACTCACCTTTGATTATATTTATCCTTATAGATATCAGGTCCATTTTTTCTTTTTCATAAGTTTTTGAAACGTAATCGTGCTTTCTTAGCTGAATTTTCGAAATGGTTGTTTTGGATTTATTTGAAATAAAAAAGTTTATTTACCTGTCACCTTGTATTGGTGGAGATGATGACTCAACACACAAATGCATGCCTCCTTGCTGAGAACTTCAGGTTAGTTTTTACGAAATTTTATTTATGGCAGTCTGTGTTCTAGGAAGTTTTGTTAATGAAATGGTGTTTTCATGTCGGTTTATAATTTACCTTCAGTCTTAGAATATAGTGATTATCAGAAAGATCAAATTCTAATTATATATAGTCATCATTTGGATATTAGAAATTATTTTGGAAGTAGTTTATCCATTCAATTGAATAGTACGCTCTTGAGTTTTGAACCCTTAAATGCAATGGCTGGGTTAGGAGTCTTGCTACATATTTGAGATTAGTATTTTTTGAATTTCTTTGAATTAGTTTCTTTTGAAAATACAATGTATATATGATGATCTTCTTCTTCTTTTTTGCATGTCTTACTATTTTACTTTTGCATTGTTCCTTTAATTGTTTAACAGGTTTGTGAGGCCCTCAAATATGAGCGAACAAAGAATAAATAAAATACATTGAAGGAAAGTATGGAAAATTTGGAGTTGATAGGTATACAACTTAATCTGCTTTACCATCCTTAACTGATTCATACTTGTGATCTGATCTTTATACAATCTTCTCGGTTTTCATTTTTATTTTTACTACCAAAAGCAGTCGAACAAGTGCAGGTATATATTATATGTTATGAATTCTTGTAGAGAATTTTCCATATTATGAATTCATAACTAAATTTTTTTTTGGTTCCCCTCAGAATGAACAACAACAAGCGCGGCGTGCTTGCTCGTTTGAAAACCCTGATCAACTCACAGGTACACGTAACTAACACTGCTTTCTCTTCTCTTATTTTGATTGAGACAATTTCTCAAACACCTTGTGACTTTGGACATCTCTTTCTAAACCCAACCTTCTGTTTGGCCTTGAATTCTTTGTTGCAGAGCTTCCACTCTCGTTTGCCCAAAGGAAGAGGACAAGGTAAAGTGTCTCCAGAAATAGACACTTTAAGTGTTTGACTTGAGGTTGTTAACCAGGGGTGTTCAAAATGTCCAAAAGAATCTATACCCTATTCTTGACAGTACTGCAGTGTTGTGACCGTCTGAAACACTATTCGAAGGAGAGCAGACTGAAAGCTGAGAGCAATTTACAATATTCATTTTGTTTTCAAATCCTATGCATAAAAATTGTTGCTTATTTAAAATTGTCACATTATTTTTGGATAGTTTGATGGAGAATAGAACTTTGGAAGGGTTTTGTTAAGTATTTTAGTAATATTACTTCAGATATTCGAATGCTACCATTACGTTTTTGTAGTCTTGCTTCATCTGATGGGGAATGATTCAGTTTCTGTTTATGCTTCTGCTTCTCGTTCTATTATTACCTTATGTTGCTTTTTTTTTCCTGCATATACGGGGAAGTTATATCTACTGATTTTTTTTCTACATAAATATAAACTATGATTGGTGTTGCTTTTGGATAACTAGTATTTAACAATTGTTTTCAAGGAAATGATAAAAGATCAAACAAATAAATAATAAATTGGCTCACAAATCAAGTGATGAGGCCCAATTCCAAAAGTATGATATACATACTTTTCAAATTTGGATAACTAGTATTTAGTGGAGGTTTAAATCTCCCAAAATAATAAATAAATTGTAGCAGTCTATGTCCTTTAAAAAATGATGAATTTTGTGGAGGTTACTAAATCCCAATAAATAATACAACATTTTTTTGGAGATTTTAAACCTCCAAAAAGTGCAATATTTGTGGGGGTCTCAAACCTCCAGAAAATACTTTAACAAATTGTGGCACTGCACAAAAAACCCCCACAAACTATATTGTGGCGAAGGTAGAACTGGGGGTTTGGGTGAATGCCACAAATGTCTTTTGTGGGGGTCAAAGACCTCCACAATATGAAAATATGACCTCCACAAAATGCCTGAATTTTTGTCGTGTCAATTTTGTATTTATTATTTGTAAATAGATTCTTGGAGCAACAGAACCCGCAACAGGACCCGCACCAGGCCTTCATTGACCCTGGTCCATTGGTGTCGTCTCTCCTGACGTTGCAGGAGAAACACATTTCGACGTACGTATGGAACAGATCTGGTGACGCAAATTCAGATGATCGTGTACTAAACGTCAGACACGCTGCTTCATGGGATCATCTAAATATACCCGAGGAGATCATTCTTTACCTGCAGCAGTCAGGGTTTTATCACATTGCGCGTCTGCGCAACCATGAGGTTGGTGATACATAGAGTAGATAAATAAAAAGATTACATGTTGTATAGTTAATCAATTGTGATAAAATGTAAAATAATTTTTTATTGTCAGATTGACCACCATCTCATTTCGGCCCTTGTGGAGAGATGGCGTCCTGAGACGCGCACATTCCATATGTCCATGGGTGAGGTGACGATTACGCTGGAGGATGTCCACCATCTGCTTGGACTGCCTACAGATGGAGAGGTTGTATCTGGCCGCGTTGGAGGTCATCCCTTCTCCCAGATGGTGGGAGATTTTTTGGGCGTTCGGCCGGGTCGGTCGCGCGACTTATATAAAAACCAAATTTCGCTTACATTTCTGAGGGAACGGTATCTAAATTGGCATGAATGGTCTGGCAATGAAGTTGACCGTATGCGATACACACGTGCATTGATTTTGCGCATTATAGGTGGTTGCCTCTTCGTTGAGACTGCATCTAGCTTCGTCCATGCGCGGTATCTCCTATTTTTGGATGATTTTCAGAGGACTAGGACGTATTCTTGGGGTTCCGCTGTCCTGGCTACTTTGTACAGGGAGTTGTGCAAGGTTACTGACCCAGGACGATCGGATATGGGTGGCTGTACTCTGTTACTACAATTGTGGGCATGGACATGTTTCCCTACTATCTCCCCATGAATCCCAGCGATCACCGATCCAGATGCTATTTTTGGAGCAAGGTATGTCTGGTTTTTTTGTTTGTCTTCATTTTCACTGTCTGTTACGTTAATTACTAATTTTTTGCGTGTTATTGTTTTGCAGGTTTAATGAATATGTGTCCATACGACGTCGTTACTCCCATATCAGACGATATCATCATCACATTGACGTTATGCCTACCCGCAGGATACAGTGGAGGCCATACGACAGATTCGTTGGGCATCCCCCCTCGTCCGAGGAGTCACGCAGATGGTTAGCTGTATGCCCACTCATACACTACCAGATTGTTGTCTACCAGCAGCCGGATAGAGTGCTGAGGCAATTTCATTTTAGGCAGCCGCTACCGAGCGATCCTTTCATGAGTTCAGAGCTGCTGACCATCACCCTGACTGGTAAGGGTGATGTTGACTGGAGGGACCGTCATGGACTGTATATAGCGCAGTGGCATTCCAGGGATGCCCTCATTGTGCAGGGTCTACAGCCCTTGCAGGGAGAAGGTCATCTGTCTCCCAACAGCACGTACATGCAGTGGTATTTTCAGCATACGCGTAGATGGATGATGCAGAGATCGGCCATTCGTTCTCATGTGGTACGTTAATTTTAGCCCTTGTCATTAATATTGTTACATTTTGTATTTTTTTTGTAATGACATCATACGTTTAACATTATATTCGCTTCACAGAGTGATCGCATGGAGACTGTTCTGCATATGGCATCAGACGAGGCCCAAGGAGCATTCACATATCGCCAGATATACGATGAGACCCTTCAGATGATGTCCGCATTCGATGAGTTTGGCAGACTGACAGAGCCTGGAGAGGCTGCACCTCCGCCGGCAGTGGTGCAGACAGTGGAACCGCCTCGTCATCCGCGTGTTAGCCAGCGTGCACGCCACGAGGGACTGCCACTGCATCATCAGGCTCCCGCTATGGCTGATAGGCCTGTGCTTATGCAGTCTCTTCCGCCCCGTCCAGCCGGTCAGTTTTATGCCCCAGCTTACCCTCCAGGTGGGCTGTCGCAGCCTTACTGGTGGCCTCCCCCAGGCGGTCCGTCTCAGCCTAGCGGGTCATCGACTCACTTCGGGTACCCATGGTTTTCAGCACCGACGCAGTCGTACCCTGGATATCAGCCGCACTACACTCAGCCATTCCCAGGTCAGCAGTTCCCAGGTCAGAGCAGTGGTCCATATTATTCTCATGTTGAGCCTTCTGCGCACGAGCACAGCCAGTTTCCAGGACAGTCCAATTCGCATCGTCAGCCCGGTCTGGAAGAGTCCACAGAGGATTACATACCCACATTTGATTCCCCTGCCGTCATGGCCACACCAGAGGCATTTTCGGCTGACTTCTTTCAGTCACCCTCATCTGGTCCTACAGGTTTGCTTGCGCAGGAGGACATTGCGGGTACTGTGGACGATATTGATGCAGACCCAGGAGCGGAAGCAGACGTTGCACCCGGAGGAGACGGTGAAGACGTGGTCAGGCGTAATCCAGATAGACAGGCCAGGGAGCGTTGTTTCTTATCACCATATGAGCCTAACCAGGCACGTTGTGCCAAGTATCATGGGCGGCCGCGACAGCAGTGATTTGTTGTTTTATCATAGGACTTTTTATTTTATCAGGGCATTCATATGTATGTAAATGATCTGTTTTGGACTCCATTCTTTGATTGCCATTTATTACTGTATGCTGACTATTATGTTATTGTTAGATTCATGTGGTGTTATGTGCTATCCCTAGTTAACTATAAACGAAAAGAAAATTATGAAACCAGTAAGCACACGATGATCATATTAATTAACATCTTACATTCAATAAACATCACGACTAACGACAACCCAGAATCAAATGAAAGCAGGCATAATTATAAACAAAACAAAAAAGAACATTTGACAACACACAGGCAGAAGAGGGTAACCAACGTTTCAATAAGTTTGTTTCACGCAACATTTAATTGCCTTGCAAGCGCGATGGACAACGACGTCTGTCATGGCCAACAACCCTACAATAACCACATCTTACCTGCTGGCTCACACCCTCGCGCTGATCCATTTCGTTACGGATTCGGGTACTTCGCGGCCTGCCTTTTTTACGTCTCAGTGACACATCCGGGAGAATTGTTGGGCCTTGGCTGGGTGGGATGAAGTCTTCATTACCAATTGGATACCATTGCCCGGAATATACCTGGCATTGATATGACGCACTATATGCAGGATCAATGTATTGTAAGGGGTCATGATTTACTGATTTGCACGCAGCAATCACATGACTACATGGGTACCTAAAAGAAGTAAACTCACTACATTGACAGGCCCGATCCTGTAATGAAACCCACCATTTCTTTCCTCCTCTATGAGTTCTTTGATTGTAAGACTCTTGAACTTCAAATTGTGTTTTTTGTCTGTCATACGACGTAACAAAGTGTGTTGCAGCATTTTGTTGGTTTTTAACATATTCAACCCAGAACACTTTGGCGAAACGATTACCTTTGTCCATCTCTTCCCGAGCCTCCTGCCCGTGGGCCAAAAAATATTCGTTAAGCCTAGCGTACGTGATGCGCACCAAAGACGTGATTGGTAAGTTTCTAGCACCTTTAAGAACCTTGTTAACACAATCCGACAAGTTTGTAGTCATATGGCCAAATCGCCTTCCTTCAGCATCGTATGATATACTCCATTTTTCCTTCGGAATTCGATCAATCCATGCTGCTATCTGTGGGCTTGATTCTTTAAATTTTTCCAAACCAGCGTCAAAATCCAATCGCGATGTAGTGTAGCCTGTACATGACAACACATAATTGTTAATAACTAATAACATCAGCGTCATACGATCATTGTAACAAATTAATAAAATTCTAGTGACATCCATACCTAACTTCTTTAACTGCTTCTTCAACATGATGTTTTTGAACTTATGATAGAAATTGCTTGCCAGATGTCTCACGCAAAAAACATGGTACGCTTTGGGTGGTTGCCACCCTAACGCAACATTATTGACGGCTGCCAATATACCTGCATGTCGATCAGAAATAAGGCATATTCCATCTTTCTGAGTCACATCGATCCGTAACATGGCCAAAAATCAGGACCAATTGTCAATATTCTCACAACTAACAACAGCAAACGCTACAGGCAGGACATAATTGCTACCGTCAACAGCTGTAGCGATCATTAGCGTTCCGCGGTATTTTCCATACAAATGTGTCCCATCGATTTGGAGAATAGGCTTGCAATAATTAAAGGCATCACAACACTGTTTGAATGTCCAAAAAACCCTTTTAAACACCTTGTGCGAACCATCGAGCCGACCATCAATCCTATG